CTCAGCACCCCCAAGCTCCGCACCCCCAGGCTCAGCACCCCCAGGCTCAGTACCCCCAGGCTCCGCACCCCCAGGCTCAGCACCCCCAGGCTCCGCACCCCCAGGCTCAGCACCCCCAGGCTCCGCACCCGCAGGCTCAGCACCCCCAGGCTCCGCACCCGCAAGCTTAGCACCCCCAAACGCAGCACCCCGAGTAGCACCACCCCCAGCAGCACCAGAGTCGCCAGTGACCTCGACAGGCTCAGCCAAGGGGAGTGGGTCTACCTGAGACACACCTGAAGGAGCAGGATCTTGAGGGAGAAGGAGGTCTACCGGAGGGGGACTTGGAGCGAGGAAGAGCGGTAGTGGGGGGGAGAGGGGCAGTGCGGTAGGGGAAGAGACGGTAAAAGGGAACCGACTCGTCAAACGTGACGTCCTGAGAGGACAGAACACGGCGCGAGGTGGGGTGGTAAAACTGTCAGCCGAGCGCGTCAGGGGGGAAGCCAAGACAGACACAGGGAATGGCGCGGGAGGAGAGCTTGTCCGCGGAGGTATCGCGGACAAAGGCACGAGCGCCCCAGACCCGGAACACCGACGCATCGCCAACCTCCCCCATCCAACGCAGTGTGGGCGAGGTCTCCAGCAAGGAGACATGGGGCCAGAGGTTGAGCTGATGCGCAGCGTACCGGACCGCAAACGGCCACAGAAAATAGGGAGCCGCCGCATGGATCATGGAGGTACGAGCGACCTCCATGACTAAGCCGATGCGGCGCTCAGCAACCCCATTCTGCTGCGAAGAGGCCGGAAGCGTGAACGACTGGAGGATGCCCTCCCCACGACAAAAGTCCCGCAAGAGGTCGGAGGAGAACTCACCACCTCTGTCAGAGTGCAGACGCAGGACAGGAAGGTCCTGGCGGAACCGCTCGCGGAGCTGGAGACGGACTGCATGGATCCAAGGGATCAAAACATCAGGGACCTCCCCCTTGCTGCGCAAGGGAAAGACCGTGGTGTAACGCGTGTAGTCGTCAACAACCAGCAGAAAGTACCGCTCGCGATCCTGTCCACGGACGCGGGCTGGGCCCCACACGTCCATGTGGAGAGTCTGCAGGGGAGCAGTCGTCGAGGGAAACGAGGAGGAGTGAGGAGCTGCGCGCTGCCGCCCCTCGACACAAGGAACGCAGAGCGGGGCATGCGAGGGCGAGAGGGGAGGCAGAGACCTGGGAAGACCAGAAACAAGGAGGCGGGAGTGCATGCCACGGAGGCGTGGCAGGGAGGGGTGACCAAGGCGGTGGTGCCAAAGGAGAGTCTGGTGCGACAGGAGGCGACACGAACAGGGGGCGGCAACCTGACCAGACGCGGACACCTAACCGGAAGCAGCTACCTGAGGTGGCTCAGTAGTCAGTGTGTACAGACTCGACCCAGGCCGACGGGTGAACGTGGCCAGGTGACGGCCCGTCCGTGTACACGTGCACATGGCCACACGCTAACCCCCAGTAGTGGTGGTAGTGACCATCGCATCCTGGAGGGCAGCGGTACTCACCAAGTTTGTAGAGAACGAGGGGAGGTGAAGACCTGACAGTGAGCCAGACGAAACCGTCGGGCACGGGAGAACAGTGGTGGAACGTGCAAGAACTGGGCCCCCTGAGGGGTCAGCCAGTCGGACTGCAACAGGTGCAGGAAGTGGTGTGAGTGTGGTACTGTCGCGAAAGAAACAACGGGAAGCACCTGAGTCAAGCGAGAAGGTATGCAAGGCCTCAGCAGGCGCTGTACCAGGGAGAGCAGACTCACAAGCACCTAGAGCAGCAGCCTCTATACCTGGGTCAGGCGGCACACACAGGTAACAGTCACCCTCAGCACTAACAGTCAGGGCATACATGGCAGCAAGGATAGCATCATAGTCAAGAGCAAAGATATCCACGTCTCGCTTAAGCAGATCTAGCCAGAGTGGGAGCTCAACGTCGTCGCCAAACTCAGCTCGCCAAGCGTCGTCAAGGCGGGAAAAGCAGCGGTGCTGGGTGTGAAACTTCTTGCAGGTCTGGCCAGCGCGGTAACCTGTGCAAATGACGTACGTGCAGCGAACACTACCTCCAGATGGCCCACGCAGAGCAAACCACTCATGAAGCTGCTGGGGTGAAGGGGTCTCGCGCGGACGCTGCTGCTGCTGCCGGTGGCCACCGCCAGAACCTCCCCTCTGAACGGCTCCACCCCGACCACCACCACTGCCGCCGCCACCACTCCCACTGCCGCCACCACCGCCGCCACCACTCCCACTGCCGCCGCCACCACCACCACCACTCCCACCACTGGCGCCACCGCCGCCACCAACGCCCCCACTCCCGCCACCACTCCCACCGCCACCTCCGCCACCTCTGCCACCTCCACCGCCTCCACCGCCTCCCCCCCCTCCCCCCCCCCCCCTGCAACCTCCACCACGCTTGCCTCCCTTGTCCTTGCCGTTGCGGCGCTTCCCACAAGGAGTAGAAGCAGTGCCGACCTCCTTAGCACCAAGGAAGTCAACAGCAGCAGCAGAAGCGTAGGAGGGGGCAAGGGGGGAGGGGGAACACCCCTCAAAGAAGGGCGTGCTAGGAGTGCCACTAGCAGCACCTACAGCGACTATGCTAGTCTCAGCTGCAAGGAGGTGCTTCTCGAGCAGGTCGACAGTGAGGTCTGTGGGGTCAAGTGCTAGAAAGAGGTCCCTGACTGCGCGAAGAGAGTCAGGGAGGCGGGTGACTATGAAGTAGAGCGTGATGTACATCGGGGGCGGGTTCTTGTCTAGGAACTCGGCTAGGAGGGCGGCGCGATAGCGAGTGTTGCTAGCGCGAAGGTGGGTGATGAGGTCCTCAACTGTGGCAAAGGAGGACAGCTCGGGAAACAGGTAGGGCAGTATAAGGCGGCCGAGAGCAGCAGTGGCAGAGGAAGAGTTACGAGCGACTACAACGGCGTACAGGGCCTTAGCGGTCTTGTGCTGGCCAAAGTGAGCGCGTTCGGCTAACGGCAGGTGGTTGCGAACGGCTAGGGGGGCAGCAGCGTCACGGGTAAGCCACTGTGAGCGAGTAAGACTGTCAGCTGTGTCGGGAGGAGCGAGAGAGGAACCAGACGTGTGGTCAAACAGTGAGACGCCGTCTTTAGAATCGCTCACTAGATACAGCTGTAAGTCATCGAGCCATGTATCGAACTGGATTGGGCGGCCCTCAGGATCGAATGTGCGTAAGCTGAGTGTAGCCATAGGCGGCAAAGCAGGGTGGCGCGTGACTAGCAGGGCGGAGCGCGTGCACTAGGGAAACGCGCGGGGCAGGGCGGCGCACGGGCGGAAATGGCGGCGCGCGGGCTGCAAAGGGCGGTGTGCGGCTAGCAGTGCAGCGCGCTGGCAAGAAAGGGCGGCACGCGGCTAGCAGGACAGCGCGCGGGCAGGAAAGGGCGGCACGGCAGGCTGCAGGGCTGCGCGCGAGCAGGGCAGGGCGGCGCGCGGCCTGCAGGGTGGCGCGACGCAGTGCAGGGCGTGCGCGGGGCGACGCGACGCAGAGCGGGGCGTGCGCGGGGCGGCGCGACGCAGGGCAGGGCGTGCGCGGGGCGGCGGAACGTAGGGCAGGGCGTGCGCGAGGCGGCGCGACGCAGGGCAGGGCGTGCGCGGGGCAGCGCGACGCAGGGCGTGCGCGGGGCGGCGCGACGCGGGACAGGGCGTGCGCGGGGCGGCGCAACGCAGGGCAGGGCAGGGCGTGCGCGGGCAGCGCGACGCAGGGCAGGGCAGGGCGTGCGCGGGGCAGCGCGACGCAGGGCAGGGCAGGGTAGCGCGGCCAGCAGGGCAGCGCGACGGGCAGCAGGGCAGCGCGCGGCCTGCAGGGCGGCGAGACGGACAGGGCAGGGCAGCGCGACTGGTGGGGCAGCGCGACGGGCAGGGTAGGGCGTTACGGGCAGGGTAACGCTCTACGGGCAGGGAATGATTCGGTAGGCCCTATAAAAAAACGGTCCTGGAATAGGACTTGCTCTGAAACCATGTCAGAATACTGAACGAGAATGGATGAACTTTGAAAGAGTTGGGTACAAGTACCAACCTTTATTGGGTTGTACCCCATATAGGCTACCCCACTACAGCCTACACAACACAATATTCTGACAACAGAAGTATTTGTGACTAATTGTGATACTCCGAAACCATAATCGTGACTAAATGTGTATCGTCGAAAATCATGAACAGCAAGTGTCCAACCACTTCTGATAAGAGCGTGTTTCTACGGGCCCTTATCAGGCCAACCTATTATCAGGCTTGCACGAATCACTGACATTTCGGCTTAAGCTGACTGTTTAAAAATGATGTTCTCGGTGGCTTTGCAGAGAGCGAGCGAAAATGCGTGGTTGATGTGGCACAAAACATTGGGGTACGGAACTGTAGTTCTTCTGTCTCGGTTTGAAACAAAATCGAGGAACCAGTCAACTGAGTCAATCCGCACGAATTTGGTGTGGCAGCCCGATACTCGACAAAACACAGCTGCGCTCTCGCATTTTCAGGGTGATGGATTGACGTGGATTTATGTTTCGCCACGTCTGAAAGTTCTCGCAAGGGAACTTCAGTTGCGCAATATGAGATTATTTGTTCATGAGATCAGCGAATTATAACGAAAATATCGAGTCTTGCTGAAGCTGATATCAGGTTGGCCTGACAAGAGGCCGTAGGAACACGCTCTCAGACATTTGGCTAAATCTTGACAGTTCATGGTTCGAAGTATCACAATTAGGCACGATTATGCTATCGGTGTATCACAATTAGTCACGAACTTTGTTTTCAAAGTACCACAATTAGTCACAAATAGCGATTGCGACACTTTCTTTCTGGACATGTCTACAGTGGAATGTACCCTAAGAGAGCACTGAAGTGCTCTCAATCATTATGATGTCACACTACCCCTCAAAACACACAATATTTGACATTGTTGACTGCAAAACCAAGTTGGATTTCAAACTTGAATCGTGCAAACCGCACAGCACACAGCATACCACACACCACATAACCGGCAGCATTCAGGCTAAATAGTGCGGGTGTTGTATGAGCCGCAGGCAGAGCATTTGTGATAGAGCCAGTGGAAAGACGCACTCCCCTTGGCCTCGCAGTCATTGCAGAGAATGGCCTGGAAAGAGCAGGGGAAAATGGCAGGAGAGGGTGCAAAGATCCATGTGCTTTGAACCATGACATACTTGTGCTGATTTTGCACATTGTGTGACATTGCAAAGTTGCGAGCAGGTCAACACACACGAGTAACAACAGCAATTAGGCAGGCAAAAGAGAGCACGAGCGAAGGCCCCACCTGTTGCCGGTTGCGGTATTCCTCTGGAAGTTGCTCCGCTGCCAGTAGAGCGTCCAGCATTCCAAAGTACACCTGGTGGAAGCGGCAGAAGAGCAAGTAGTGGCAGTGACAAGGCTGCAAGTCAGCAAACAAGCAGCAACAATGATTGTCACACGCATACACTCGGATGCTTCGCTCATCACACGCTTAGCACAGACAGATGTGCTATACAGGTTTCCAGGCTCAGAAATCGGACCACTCTGCGCTGGCATACGCGCATGTTCCCTCATGTCATGTGCCTACTAAAGGGACTGTGAGGCGCCGCAAGAATCAAAACAGAGAGATGGCGTACCCGCATGTCTCCGACGGACTTGCAGCAGATGGGGCAGGTGTAGTGCTCGCATGTGTACGCCTGGAAGCACGCCGAGTGCATGAAGTGACCACAAGGGAGCGCCTTGACGGGCGCGGAGGAGGTGAAGAGGAAGTCATGGCAGATGGGGCAGTTGGACTCGAGGCCCTTCTCCCGGCACGTGTGCTGTGCGAGTGTCACGGACATGCACGCGTTGCACGTCATGCAGTGGAAGTAATCGATGCCCAGGCCCTTCCCCACCCGGCACAGGTTGCAGAACGGACAGTGGTAAATGTCCCTGGGTTTGGGGTTTGGAGGTTCATTGAAGGGTTCGGCGGGGGGAAGTGGTGTGAGAGGGGATGCACATGCAATTTTAATGCACGGACGCCGAGCCCTTTTCAGTTGCTTCAGGCGTGGTGGCCATCTACCTCCTAATCAACCCTTCTGCGCTGTGAACCGTGAGTTTTGAGTGCTGAGGAAGGTGAAAGCATGGGAGTGAATGAAGGCATGACTGCTGGTGAAAGACGACTTTTGCAGGCCCTGGCCCCCCATTGTCCTCATCTCATCCTCCCAGGTCTCACCTGGCGTCATCAAAGAGCTTGAAGACGCTGCAGAAGCGTTTGGCCGTGGAGAAAGCCAATGAAGGAGGGTGTGTTTGGAAGCGCCACAAAACCGTGAGACATGAGACGACTTTTGAAGCGCCTCAAAGCTCACCTGGCGTCATCAAAGAGCTTGCAGATGCTGCAGTAGTGCTTGGCCATGGAGTAGCCGTTGCAGGAGGTGACTCTTTAATCAACTCAAAGGTCACCAGGTCCAGGTCTCACCTGGCGTCATCAAAGAGCTTGCAGATGCTGCAGTAGTGTTTGGCCATGGAGTAGCCGTTGCAGGAGGGCGTGGCGCAGTACTGCCCCACAGGCTGCACCTTGAGACACTTCATGCACATCATCTCCCGCACCGCATGCCTGGTGGGTCAAGGTAAGTGGGACCGGGGTGGAAGCGGAGGGGAGGGCAAAGCAGGATGAGGATGAGCCCGCATGAACAGGAAACTGGCCCAAGAGTATTGGCCATACTTGTCCAAGGAGCGGTGATTAATCCAGACACTCGTTTGCAACCTCGTCATCTTCTGTAGCTGCCCATGGTGTGGGGGACAAACTTCTCATGTTTTGTTGCCACCTGCTTATAGAGTGGGCAGCAGCGAGCTTGTCCCGTTCTGAACGCACCTGTCCAAGGCATGGTCGACGACCTTGTGTTCTGAACGCACCTGTCCAAGGCATGGTCGACGACCTTGTGTTCTGAACGCACCTGTCCAAGGCATGGTCGACGACCTTGTGTTCTGAACGCACCTGTCCAAGGCATGGTCGACGACCTTGTGTTCTGAACGCACCTGTCCAAGGCATGGTCGACGACCTTGTGTTCTGAACGCACCTGTCCAAGGCATGGTCGACGACCTTGTGTTCTGAACGCACCTGTCCAAGGCATGGTCGACGACCTTGTGTTCTGAACGCACCTGTCCAAGGCATGGTCGACGACCTTGTGTTCTGAACGCACCTGTCCATGGTGTGGTCCGCGACCTTGTCCTGTTGTGAACGCACCTGTCCATGGTGTGGTCCGCGACCTTGTCCTGTTGTGAACGCACCTGTCCATGGTGTGGTCCGCGACCTTGTCCTGTTGTGAACGCACCTGTCCATGGTGTGGTCCGCGACCTTGTCCTGTTGTGAACGCACCTGTCCATGGTGTGGTCCGCGACCTTGTCCTGTTGTGGACGCACCTGTCCATGGTGTGGTCGGCGACCTTGTCCTGTTGTGAACGCACCTGTCCATGGTGTGGTCCGCGACCTTGTCCTGTTGTGAACGCACCTGTCCATAATGTGGTCGGCGACCTTGTCCTGTTGTGAACGCACCTGTCCATGGTGTGGTCGGCGACCTTGTCCTGTTGTGAACGCACCTGTCCATGGTGTGGTCGGCGACCTTGTCGTGGCAGAAGCGGCAGGAGACGAGCTTGCCGCAGCAGACGGCGCGCACTTTGCAGTTGCGGCGGTAGTGCTGGCAGCCAAAGATGCCCTTCTCCTCGTCGTGGTACGACGGGCACAGCACCTCCTCCTCGGGCGCGTCGCGGGATGACTTGTGCTGCTGCTGCTGTGCCACGATCCACCGGCTGTATAGATGATAGATGCACATGAGAACGACCGGGTACGGGCATGGGAGAGCACAAACGTGCTTGGAATGTGACGTTTGGTTGATGATGCACCAGGCAACGGGGCGTGACTGAAACTGGTGCTTGTTGCCCACAAGGCAGGAGGATAGAAAGACACAGGAACGACAACTGATATAAAGTAGAGATACAGGCGCCAGTTACATATTCGTATAGGGAGGGTTAAGGTATGCAGCAAGTTGCAGGGATTATGTGACACCATGGAATGGACGGACCTGGTCATGAGGTTCTGCATGAGGTACGCCTTCCTCCTGGGGTCCAGAGAAGAGTCGCTGGAGACGCGGCGGATGGCGGCCTCCAGCTCCTTCTGGTTCATGCGGAATATGTTGTGCCACCCTGGTCGAAACGTCCTCTTGTCCTTCTCCACCTCCTTGCCCTGCGCCCCACTCCCTCCACCCTCACTCCCTCCACCGCCACTGTCTCCAACCCCCCCTCCTCCACTTCCACCGCCACCACTTCCACCACCGCCTTCCCCTCTCACAGCATCACTCCCCGTACGCACATCACCGGATTCTCCTGGCGCAGAACAACCCTCTCCACCCGTACCCTCCCTGTAAGATGCCGTCCCTTCCACATGGCCATGTCCACATCCAGCACCATCACAACCAGCAGCACCACCACCAGCAGCACCACCACCAGCAGCACCAGCGGCACCAGCGTCCGCAGCACCATCCGCACAGGATGTGTCAACACGCGTTGCTGCTACTGCACCCCCCTGCTCTGCTGCCTCTGCCCCTGCTGCTGGCCGCGACCCATCACTCTCTAGATACTCAGCCACCATCTGCAGCGCGTCAGAGGAGAGGCTATCAGCCAGATCGTCCCTCGCGTGGCCTTGATGCCCCGGGGAGGGCGGCAGGGGGTTGGACGTGCCAGCAGGGGACTTCCACCAGGCGCTTAGCCATTGGTCGAACATGGTGTTGCGGGATGCCTTGCGCCACGTGTCCACCATCCGTGCTTGCTCCTCGTCTGAGATGGCTGCTGTGATCCACGTCAGCATGGCCTGAGAGGGAAAGGGAAGTGTGGATACGTGTATGCACTCATACTTGTGTTAACCCTCCCTTCTTCCTCCTTTCTTCCCCCACCATACCCCGTTTACTTCCGTTCCCATACGTTTGACCGCGTATCTAAACGTCCCATCACGCCCCATCACCCAACAGCAAGCCCTACACCGTCACTCCCCAACCCACCACCACCACGCCCCATCCAGCCCTTAAGCCCCATCAGCTCCATCAAACCCATAAAGGCCCCACGAGGCCGCATCACCATACATACCTGCAGCACCTCAGCGCCGGTGGTGCCAATGATGCGCCCCACGATCGCGTCCTGCTCCTCCATGCTGAAGTGAATCCCAAACAGCGGCCACAGCTCCAGCTCCTCGCGGGAGATGTGCTGGTCCAGGCACAGCCGCACCGACAGGCTCATCCGATGCACCCGCTCCGCCAGCTCCCTCCTCCTCTCCTCCAGCTCCTTCACCTGCTTCCTCGCCTCCTCCCTCTCCGCCTCCCCTCCGCTCTCCTCAGCTTTCGCCGCCAAGCCCTTGGCTTTATTTATAGCAGAAATAACACCCGAGAGCTGGTTCAGAACGCCGGCGATGGCATCGAAAAGCTCCTCCTCCTGCTTGTGGTCGATCGTGTACGAGTGGCTCACGTTGTGCAGCGCCTCCTTCGCCTCCAGCGCCGGAAACACGATCTCATCCTCGGCATTGCTGTGCGCGCGGTACAGACCCCACAGGAAGTGGAACCGGCCGCTGAAATCCCGCGCGGCATCGTCGTCGCACGTGGCAAGCCGCGCTGACTCAGCAGAGAGGTACTCTAGGTCTTTCCTAAGCGCCTGGTGGAAGTGGAAAATGGCATCTATGGGCCGCTGGCTTGACGAGCTACCCCTGTCATTTGAGAAAATGCCAGGACCCAGGACCCCCCCTGTGAGAAACCCTCCTCTGGAGGCAGATGAGCGAGTGAGGGCGCGGCCTGCTGCACTTGAGAAGCAGAGCGCTTTGGAACCGAGAGACCCAGGCTCGGGAGCGGACAGCTGCATTGGAGGGGGAGGTTCGGGTTTGATTAGTATTGCTGGTAAGCTCTGGAATGAGCCGCTGAGGAGCCTGGCTCGCTTGGAGGGAGGGGTGGAGACGCTGTCCTTGGGGCTGGCTGCTGTGCGCTGGGATCCCACTTCCAATGAGGCTGCATCCGCGGATGCGCTCGAGTGTACTGAGTGGTCTCCTGACTTTGCTGTTGTGAATGGTCTTGGAATGTCAAAGACGCTGGAATCCAAGGCTTGGGATGCTGTGGTGGTGTCGCCAGATTGGGGTGGGTGCTTACTGGCCCAGGATGTGAACAGGGAGACCAGAGGAACATCCATCTCAGGAGCTGAACGGAAAGGAAAAACACAAAACATCAGGGAAAGAAGAAATGATGAGTGTCTTCGTGTGTATAACTTATGGCATGAGCTTTCACATTTAAAGACTGCTACGTCTCTAAACTGACTCCTATTCCCCTGAAAAGCAAACACTTACCGGCAAGCTTCATGTTCTCGACAATTTCTGTGGCCTCCTCCTTTGTGACAAATGTCATGACCCACGGAAGCACACGCTCTAGCAGCCGCAGAGGCATGACCAGTAAGCACCTGTAGACAAGCTGCCTCTGCTCATCCAGACTGCAGTGCTGCCGCAGCAGAGGGAAAACCTGCACAGCGAAAAATAATGAAAGAAATAAAAGTGGCTGCATAACTTCCTCGATGTGACTGGTTGCTCCCAAATCAGAAAAAATATCGGATTTGCAAGCTCACATCATCCTCTTCAGCTTGCAAGTGCTGGTCCAGTGACTCCACAACGGTCAGAGCTTGTTTCTTCAGCTCGGAAAGCAGCGGCTCGGCAGCGCTGGGACTGTGCTCCATCACATGCCGAACCTCGTCCAGCAGATGCCCTACTGCAGCGAAGAGCTTCTCTTCGTTTGCATGGGCCTGTACATAGCGTGTCGGAAGGTCTACATGCTGTGAAAGCGCAGGGAACACCACCTGGTCCTCTGCTGTGCTGCAGTGATAAAAATGGTGAAGCACAACACAGTAAACCACGAGGACCACTTCAGCCAGTCATAATCACCTGATGGTGGAAAACAGAATGGTAAGCTTAAAAAACGAAAAACGCAAAAGAGAAGCCTGAAAGTTTGTACCTGTGAAAAACGCAAATATCTGAGAGAAACCGGTATCTTCTGATAAGGCTGTCAAAGGTGTCAAGCTCCAGGCCTTTCACTTCTCTGTTGAAAGCTTCCAGTTCCTTTCTGATTGCGTTGTGCCAATACAGCAACTCGTCAATGGGATGCCTGTTTTGGGCCGTGGTAGCTTTCTGAATTGTGCCCTTTGGACGAGCCATTTTAGTCCCCGAGAGCTTGGGCTTCACCAATCCTGTCCATCTCTCGTGGATTTTCGGAAACAGGCCATGCATTCGGCTCATCCAACCAGAAACCACCTGCAAGAAAGGGAAAAACACGAGAGGACAATTCAAAATAGCACATTGCTGGGTGAAATCGACGGTTTGTATGCCGAATTTGACACCCACTCACCTCCTGCAAGAGCTCCTCTTGCGGGACAATCTTATGCATGTGCTCCACCATTTCCTCCTGCTCCTTTTCCGTAAGATAAGAAGCCATCCAGGGGAGGCAATCCTCCATGAGCTTTATTGGCATGCTGCACAGAAACTGCCAGACTAGATTCGCCTGCTCCACCGCGTCGAAATGCTCTACCAGCAGCGGAAACACCTGAACGACAAACAAGTGACCGTTACCCACGTGAGCTGCCTGCGAAAGTGGTCGCACAATAAGTAGAGAGACAAGACGACAGATGGAAGAAGAACGGAGCCATTACGACACCGACTAACCTGCTCTTCTTCTTTCGACAAATGCTGCACGAGCACTGTGAGCAAGGCCTCTGTGCAGCAGATAAGTTGGCTGAATAGACTGCGTTCCGTGGTCTCGTCGCGTCTTAAGTTGGATACAAGGTCAGAGAGCTGGTCGAAAAGGTCGCTCTCCACTTTATGCTCGAGCGTGTACGCATGCGCGACGTTCTTAACACGGGAATCGAGCGCCGGGAATACCACCTGAAGCAGAAATTCGAACGTGTCAGAAAGCTGACGGAGATTCTCCAAGCCTACTTCATAACGCGTCAGTATTGCTGTCTAAAGTGCAGCGTACCTCGTCTTCCGCCGTGCTATGGTACTTATATACCATTCTAAGGAATTCATAGCGCTCCAGCAACAGCTGCGTGTCCTTCTTTCCGCCGCGTTCTAAGGCCAAAGCTGTCGTGTGAAGCTTGTCCAACTCGGCCTTAATCGCCTTGTGAAAGAACAAAAGGTGCGAGATGGGGGAAGAAGCTAGCGTACGGACTAACGGCAGCGACGTCACGGGACCGCCAGGAACACTTTCCACCTGGACGGGACCGACAGACGCCATCAGCTAACGCAAAACGACCTTCCACTGCACGATTTCTACAAAGCAACTTCACTCTCAAGGCACCTCGCACTAGGCCCTTGGAAGGAAGCAGGAATCAAGGAAACCACACTGACCCTACCGCACCGTACTATCAATTTCTGCTGAATTGTGGATGTGGAGCAGAAAGCAAGGCCACATGGTGACCACATGTGTGTGAGTGAAGGTCGGCCCAGCTTCTGCTTCAGCCAACCCCAAACTGCCCTTCCCGCCCAGCCAGCCTCTTGCTTCCTCTTTGTTCTCGTGGTCAGCACACACGTAGGGTTTGGCTGTGCGGGACTAGGGTCAGCACGCACGTAGGCCAGTTTCAAGCACCAACGCTGAAAGTGGCCTTCGCTATTTGCACACCCGTCTCAGGAAACGGATCTGGCGTATATCCCCAGGAACGGGCAGGGCTTGCGTGGCAACCCAGTGACGTGTGAGCGGTTGCCCTGCTTCGCACTGAAGATTGCAGCGTGGTGTTGCGGAGGCACCACTTTGTGGGTGTGTTTTGGCGTCGGTCACAATGAGCAATGCAAATGGAAAATCTGAAAAATGTGCGTGTAACGATATCGGGGTTCTCCGTTGGGATGCACTGTTTCCCTCCAACATTTGAATGCTTCAATCAGAACCAATCTTCTCACGTTCAACCCTTCATCCCCGCACTCGTTCCACTTCATTTTCCAGTTCCGTCAAATGCCAGACCAGATTCACAACAAGAGAACTGTCTCCGCTGTCATTCCTTGCAGGTCATGTCGAGAAGTCCGAAAAATAACGTTTATGATTATACCTCTCGAGTCCCTCCAGGTGGGTGTTTTGACATTACCAAACCATGTGTTTTATGTCGTGTTGACGACTAGCCTTTTGCAGTGACCGAGTTGCTCCAACCACTTGTGGAGGAGCATTGTCCCTCCCTATCTTACGTCTTCGGTAACCATGGTGGCACGTTTGAAGTTTTTAACAAAAGTTCCCCTCAGCAATCGCTTGCTCGTTTCTCCGCACCGGCGTCCGACCTCCGGCCACCTTTCAGATCGGTTTATCAGAATGGCCTGTTTAACCAGGGTTTGTCTGGCACGAATAAACACCAGGTGAAATCACCCAGCATCTTAAGCCGTCAGCCTAGCGCCCCTTCGCCGAGCCAGGGCATGACCAAGGCAGAATCAAGTTCTTCTGCAACACGCCCGCCGCGTGACAGTACTGCCGTCAACAGGAGTAGCATATACAGCGAGCGGGAATACGAGATTGCTAAGAACCTTGGAAGGCATTTGCTTTCCCGACCTTCTCCTGGAGGTTCTGGATTTGATCGGAATTCGGTTAGCAGCATTAATGGAAACCGCTCGCGGCAATCCACAGCCAGTCATGCTTCTGTGACGGTGTCCGATTTGGAACTGCTGCTACAAGAGGGAAGTGATGAATCTGGAAGAAACAGCACCTCCGAATGCTAGTAGAAGTGGTCCAGACTACGACAGTGTTAATTTTTGTTGCTCTCTCATTACATTGGAGAAATCTGGTGGATAAACGGATAGAGCACAGCTCCCTGACATGACAAACATGTGGCAATAATGAATGGAAATCCTGATTGTGGCTTCTGGCTTTCAGTGGGGGTGATTGTTATGCGTTTCACAGATAAAAAGTTGTACTCAACATTGTCAGTTGCAGCTTACAACGCTCACTATCTGTCATCAGCATTGTTTGCTTGTTAATACTTGGTCAAATCCTTGATCCCCAGGCCATGCGCCACAGCAGTCAAGTCATAACTAGTCTTCTTAGCAGGCGCTTCCTCTATAGTCACACTCACAGCCCCCTTACACTCCTGCTCAACCACCCCCTTCAAAGTCACCGCTTCATACATGCCTCTACTACCACTTACAAGCCCACTGCTGGGGCTGCCAGGTGTGGCCTCAGGGGAAGGAGGGGAGGGGTGCAGTGCAAGAGAGGAGAACGAGGGGCACATGCGGAGGATCCGGCGGAGCTCAGCGGGTGTGGGGAGGTTGTAGGAGAAGGAAAGCGAGGAGAGGGCCGGGAAAAGGACTGCATCGCCGTCTGCCGTTGTTTTGGCTCGTTCGAAAATGCCTCTGAGTGGGAAAGAGATGTGTTGATGTGGTTGGGAAGGAATGTGCGAGAAGAGGGATTCGGTACAGGGAAGAAATGTGCGATGTAACAGTATGGACCGCATGACATGTGATGAGATGACATGCCCTGAACAGCATGTCCATGACATGGCACGGACGCACATAATCAGATGACACACCATTACACAAAAACTCCATCATGTGACACGTCCTGAAGAACGACAGATGCAGCGATTGTGATGATGGGAATGCTGTCCAAAGATGTGCAGTGTAGCCCATATGCAATCTGCAATGCACCTCACCTGGGGTAACCATGCAGAGACAGAGAGTGCAGGTGGGCGCACGAGGCGAGTGCAAAGACGCCGTTCTCTGTTATGTGGTTGCCGTTGATTGCCAGGGATTGGAGGTGCGGCCACTTGCGGTTAACCTGGTGGGGTCGAAGTGGTGGATGGTGCATGGTGGATGGTGGATGATGGCAGATGACATGCATGGAGGATGGTCGCAGATGTCATGCATGATGGATGATCGCAGATGTCATGCATGATGGATGATCGCAGATGTCATGCATGATGGATGATCGCAGATGACATAGATGGTGGTGGCAGAAAACTACATGTCTGATGGTGACGGCAGATGACATGTATGGTCGCGGCATC